CAGGCCACCTAGGTCAGCCAAATCTGTCGTGAATGTAAAATTCAACATACAATGTTTACTCAACATTGCTGAAATGGATAGCCTACCTTTGCCTGTGTCTTGGGTGAGATCTGAAAGCTGAGGGAATTTTCACTGAAATAGTCATCTGAAAGGAGTTTCTGAAATGTATGCCGGCAGCCTGAGGATGCAGCTTGCATAGGCCTAACAACAGAACATGGGAGCACTCTGCACTTGGATTGAAAGGCCTTATTTAACAGGATAAACATTCACTAAAGAAAACTGTAGCTTGGACTATGGCTTGGAGCCTAGCCCATCTCTGCTAACTTTTTAGTTTGACCATGTCCTCTCACTGCTGTGTAGCAAGACAGGCGATTTCTTTTGATTTTCTATTTTTTACTTTGTATTGCCCCATGCTAATGATTGAAAGATCAGCAGTGTTTTACAATGACAAATGAGAGGAACTGCATACCTGTATACTTGCATCGTTTTTTAAAGTAATTTTGAGATGTTTGCCTGTGTCATGGATTAATTCAGGAATGGACAGCTCGCTGGAAAGATATTTATAATGCGCTGCAATCACAGATGTGCCCATGAATTTTCAAGCCTTTTCAAGATTTAACACATCTGTGAATAGTTGTGCTGCTGTGTGGCCACATACCCCTCTGGAATTTTTGTGAGCTATGAGCAGAACACCAAGTACTACTCAAGTACTAGCCTAGTCAATCACTGGTGTTGGACAGAGGAGACAAAAATTACCAAAGGAATAGAAGGAAGGACAAGATGGTGATGATGAGTCTTTTCATCCAGGTTGGAAGTATACAGTGGACAGTTTACACCTATTGCAGACCAGAAACCAATCATCTATGGCCCACATCAATCAGTACAGGCTGTAGTATATAGTACAGCGGAGGATTAGCTTGAACCGCGTCATGGGAGCTTCAGGAGAAAATATACCCAAACTAAATAGATTTAACCTAATTGATCAGCATAACCAAACAGAAAATGATGTGGGATGGATGAGGAAGTACATAGTAACTACTTTAAAAAACAAAACATTTTGTAAAAAGCGAACTTAACCAATTTTTTATAAAAATAAAAACTAACGAAACAGTCTATACCAAATTGGCATACAGAGCAGATAATGTATTAACATGGAGGTGATGTAACTTGATACACTGTTGTACTACAGTGGTTTGGATATGTGTTCAGTTAGAAGCGTGTGAGTGCTCAGCCTGGCTGGCTGCACACACAGCAGAGCTGGCGGCCATTTTGTTTTTTTCTGCAGTGAATACAGAACGCGGTTAATGAAAGAGGAGTGGTGAGGTGAAGCCTACGTGCAGTGTGCAATAACATTGGAACGTTAACAGAGCTGTTTTAACATAGCAGGATGTTATTACTCCTATGAAGGAAACTCATCAGAGATTAGAAAATAACATGTTAATTATTATTATTATAAAGTTATGAGGCAAAATGTAACTAAACATTATTTTTCATCATCCATTCGAAGGACATTTTGGTCAAATCAGTATCTCAATCAGTCGACGATCTTTTGGTTTCTTTGTTAGCAATAGGAGTCAATATGAGAGACAATGTTATAAAATGCGATCCTTCGGTACAATCCCCATTGTATGTATACTGAAAACAATAACGCAACATGTAAAGTGTTGGTCCCATGTTTCATGAGCTGAAATAAAAAATCCCAGACATTTTCCATACGCACAAAAAGCTTATTTCTCTCGTTTTGTACACAAATTTGTTTACATCCCTGTTAATGAGCGTTTATCCTTTGCCAAGATAATCCATCCACCTGACAGGTGTGGTATATTAAGAAGTTTGTCAAACAGTATGATCATTACACAGGCGCACCTTGTGCTGGGGACAATAACAGGCCACTCCAAAATGTGAATTTTTGTCACACAACACAATGCCACATGTCTCAAGTTTTTGAGGGAGTGTGCAATTGGCACGATGACTGCAGGAATGTCCACCAGAGCTGTTGCCAGAGAATTCTCTAAAACGTCGTTTTAGAGAATTTGGCAGCACGTCCAACCGGCCTCACAACCGCAGTCGACGTGTAACCACACCAGCCCAGGACCTCCACATCTGGCTTCGTCTGAGACAAGCCACCCGGACAGCTGATGAAACTGTGGGTTTGCACAACCAAATAATTTCTGCACAAACTGTCAGAAACAGTCTCAGGAAAGCTCATCTGCGTGCTCGTCATCCTCACCAGGGTCTTGACCTGACTGCAGTTCTGCGTCGTAACCGATTTCAGTGGGAAAAGGCTCACCTTCTATGGCCACTGGCACGCTGGAGAAGTGTGCTCTTCACAAATGAATCCCGGTTTCAACTGTACCAGACAGATGGCAGACATTTGGGAAGAGCGATTTGCTGAAGTCAACGTTGTGAACTTAGTGCCCCATGGTGGCGTTGGGGTTATGGTATGGGCAGGCATAAGCTACACACAACGAACACAATTACATTTTATCGATGGCAATTTGAAAGCACAAAGATCTGCCCCCATCACCTCATGTTTCAGCATGATAATGCACGGCCCCACGTCGCAAGGATCTGTACACAATTCCTGGAAGCTGAAAATGTCCCAGTTTTTCCATGGCCTGCATACTCACCAGACATGTCACAGATTGAGCATGTTAGGGATACTCTGGATCGACGTGTACGACAGCGTGGTCCAGATCCCGCCAATATCCAGCAACTTCGCACAGCCATTGAAGCGGAGTGGGACAACACCCTGTCGTTCTCCGCTAACATCAAGGCGGTGACCCGATCCTGTAGGTTCATGCTCTACAACATTCGCAGAGTACGACCCTGCCTTACACAGGAAGCGGCACAGGTCCTAATCCAGGCACTTGTCATCTCCCGTCTGGATTACTGCAACTCGCTGTTGGCTGGGCTCCCTGCCTGTGCCATTAAACCCCTACAACTCATCCAGAACGCCGCAGCCCGTCTGGTGTTCAACCTTCCCAAGTTCTCTCACGTCACCCCGCTCCTCCGCCGCACACTCCACTGGCTTCCAGTTGCTGCTCGCATCTGCTACAAGACCATGGTTCTTGCCTACGGAGCTGTGAGGGGAACGGCACCTCCGTACCTTCAGGCTCTAATCAGTCCCTACACCCAAACGAGGGCATTGCATTCATCCACCTCTGGCCTGCTGGCCCCCCTACCTCTGCGCAAGCACAGTTCCCGCTCAGCCCAGTCAAAACTGTTCGCTGCTCTGGCACCCCAATGGTGGAACAAGCTCCCTCACGACGCCAGGACAGCGGAGTCACTCACCACCTTCCGGACACACTTGAAACCCCACCTCTTTAAGGAATACCTGGGATAGAATAAAGTAATCCTTCTACCCCCCCCTTACCCCACCCCAAAGAAAAAAAAGAAAAGGAAAAAATAAAATATTGTAAAGTGGTTGTCCCACTGGCTATCATAAGGTGAATGCACCAATTTGTAAGTCGCTCTGGATAAGAGCGTCTGCTAAATGACGTAAATGTAAATGGACAACATTCCACAGGGCACAATCAACAACCTGATAAACTCTATGCGAAAGAGATGTGTCGTGCTGCATGAGACAAATGATGGTCACACCAGATACTGACCGGTTTTCTGATCTACGCCCCTATATGAACTGTAACTCAGTAAAATCTTTGAAATTGATGCATGTTTCGTTTATATGTTTGTTCAGTGTATATAATTATGTGAAGAGTAAAATGATACCTAAAAGTAGGAGGAGCTTAAACTCCCTAGTCCTGCTCAAGTGGATGTTTCAGCCAACAGCTGCCATGTGCTAAGCCTGGCTGCGCACAGCAGCAGCACTGGCGGACATTTTGAGTTTCTGCAGGCAGTCCTCACGCAAGCTATGAAAGAGGAAGGGAGTGGGGGATGGGCATACTATGCAGAGTGATACGCAGTGAGCCATTAGCTGGCTAGTGTTAGTTCTACTGAATAACCGTAATATCAGCAGCATTTTTAAATGATCTATTTTTGGTTTGATGTTGTAATCCAAGCACTATGGAAGAAACAGAAAACATAGTTTAATCCTGACTCTCAACATTGAGTAAAAAACGATCAACTACCATATTTTTTTATGTATGTTCGCTTAATCATTGTATTGCTATTGCCATTAGTGATTATAGGCCTGTTAATTGAAATACTTATTTCTAAACAATGTTATCATCACACTTTCTTCTCAGAAATTGAGTGTTTTCACCTGTGTTACCTGTGTATCTTTTCTATCTATAGTGTGCTCAGCTGTCCTAATATTCCATACTGCTGTTCATGTACAAGGAACATGATTGATCCCTGTAATGATTGATATCTGTCCAATTTTACAACTCGTAAACATTGATACATTTGACTGTGGTGTCTAAGGTTATATACTCTCTCAGGCTTTTTTTGAACATTACAGCGAAAGGACCTTATTTTTTATTTGCATTCATCATTTCTGGTGGTTAATTAAACGGTTCTATCTCTCTAGCACCCTCTCTAGTTAGAAAAAAATATCCCCCCCCTACCTCTGACAGAATGGTTTAGTCCTAGCTAGGCTGTAATTTTCCATGCAGCTTCAGACTGTGCTATGGTGGGGGAGGGGTGGTGCTAAGTGTGTCAGGCTGGGCACTACTGACTGTGCTGCCAGCCTGGGTTTTTTGCAGGCAAAAATAAGTATTTGTTTTGCATGCTTCTGCCAAAGTTACTAAAAAAGTTATATTTTGCATTTGTTTTAATAGCTTTTAATATGGCCACTGAGGTAAATCCTAAAGGGAGAAAATCCTTTTGTTCTGAGGGTGTTGCATTGTGCTGTTTGTCATCCTGTGCTGTGTCAGTGTTGCCTGTGCTGGCTGTGTTGAGCCATGAGGCTGAGACTGTGAAGGTTTCACTGTGCGCACAACCTTGCACAAGAACACTCTTTGCTGAAACAACAGATGGAACAGTCCAACCCAGCCCCCCTCACCCTCCCGTTTTTTTTCCCTCCATTTTGCTGTTGCTAGTTCCCTCAATCAACACAGCCAAACAAATCGCGCATACGACCTCTGTCCAACGGAAGGCCTACTTCTGCAGACTTCTCCTGTTCAAGGTTTACTTGAATTTTTTTTATTTATTAATTTTGTAATCTTGTACACCTATACCCATGTTGCTTTATTCTGACTAGTATATTGGCCTACATTTCAGGATTTAACTTGGCTACTGTAGTATTTATTTATTTCGCTAAAGAGTGCTACGGTAACCACGATTCCGAAACGTAGATCATATACTTTTTAAAATATGTTATTTATTTATAATATTTTGTTCAATGGGGCTGATGATCATTGTTTGTTTCGTATTAGAATAAATATTTGTATATCTTTTCTGTATTCATAAAGGAGCATTTTTGGCATTTAAATATTCATGCCCTGCTATTTGTGAGAGGAAGTGAAAGGGTCTGAACAGTTGGGAGAGAATGCTACAAACCTTACGTATTGTGTTAGCAGCAATGCTTTGCAACCAGTCCAAATGTGTTAAAACCTTTATCTGACAAGTGAAAAAGGTATTGAATAATCATTGGCACCGGAACAAGAATAGGAGTTTGAACAGGAAGATGATATCTTCATATCTACCAACATTTTTGCCTATTGGTTTCCTGGCTAATGGAGGCCTATTGGGATCTTAGGAAAAAAACTGTAAAACGTGACAAAACCGCAAACTGGCTCTGATCAACACTGGGATAGGCACACTAATCAAAACTCATGTTGCGTAGCTCCTCCCGCCTTGCCACTAATTGAAAAACACACCTGAGATTTGAAAGGTGCACATAATCTTGGATCGAGTCCAATTAACAAACGTCTCATTATTCAGAGGCTGTCAACAGTCATTCGTCTTTGATGAGGCAGTGAAAAGTAAGTGGAGGAATTCTTGAAGATTCCTCCAGACCACCTAGCTCAGCCAAATCAGTCGTGTATGTAAAATACAACCTACAATGTTTACACAACATTGCTGAAATGGATAGCCTACCTTTGCCTGTGTCTTGGGTGAGATCTGAAAGCTGAGGGAATTAGAGTTTCTGAAATGTATGCCGGCAGCCTGAGGATGCAGCTCACATAGGCCTAGCAACAGAACATGGGAGCACTCTACACTTGGATTGAATGGCCTTATTTAACAGGAGAAAACATTCACTAAAGAAAACTGTAGCTTGGACTATGGCTTGGAGCCCAACCCATCTCTGCTAGCTTTTTAGTTTGACCATGTCCTCTCACTGCTTATTTTCATATTTTTTTCTTTTTCGTATTGCCCTATGCTAATGGTTGAAGAATCAGCAGTTTTTTTTACAAGGACTTACAATGACAAATCAGAGGAATTGCCTACCTGCAAACTTTTTAAAAGTAATTTTTGAGACGTTTTCGAGTGCCTGTGTTGTCATACGGATGAATTCAGGAATGGGCAGATCTCCGGAAAGATACACTATATATACACAAGTATGTAGACACCCCTTCAAGTAAGTGGATTCGGCTATTTCAGCCACACCCGTTGCTTACAGATGTATAAAATCACGCACACAGCCATGCAATCTCCATAGACAAACATTGGTAGTAGAATGGCCTTACTGAAAAGCTCAGTTACTTTCAACGTGGCACCGTCATAGGATGTCACCTTTCCAACAAGTCAGTTAGTCAAATTTCTGCCCTGCTAGAGCTGCCCGGTCAACTGTAAGTGCTGTTATTGTGAAGTGGAAATGTCTAGGAGCAACAACGACTCAGTGGTAGGCCTCACAAGCTCACAGAATGGGACCGCCGAGTGCTGAAGCGCGTAGTGCGTAAAAGTCAGTCCTCGGTTGCAACACTCACTACCGAGTTCCAAACTGCCTCTGGAAGCAACGTCAGCACAATAACTGTTCGTTGGGAGCTTCATGAAAGGGTTTCCATGGCCGAGCAGCCACACACAAGCCTAAGATCACCATGCGCAATGCCAATCGTCGCCTGGAGTGGTGTAAAGCTCACCGCCATTGGACTCTGGAGCAGTGAAAACTAGTTCTCTGGAGTGATGAATCACGCGTCACTATCTGGCAGTCCGACGGACTAATCTGGGTTTGGAGGATGCCAGGAGAACACTACCTGCCCAAATGCATAGTGCCAACTGTAAAGTTTGGTGGATGAGGAATAATGGTCTGGGGCTGTTTTTTCATGGTTCTGGCTCTTAGTTCCAGTGAAGGGAAATCTTAACACTACAGCATACAACGACATTCTCGACAATTCTGTGCTTCCAACTCTGTGGCAAATGTTTGGGGAAGGCCCTTTCCTTTTTCAGCATGTCAATGCCCCCGTGCACAAAGCGAGGTCCATACAGAAATGGCTTGTCGAGATCGGTGTGGAAGAACTTGACTGGCCTGCTTAGAGCCCTGACCTCACTAATGCTATTGTGGCTGATTGGAAGCAAGTCCCTGCAGCAATGTTCCAACATCTAGTGGAAAGCCTTCCCAGAAGAGTGGAGGCTGTTATAGCAGCAAAGGGGGGACCAACTCCATTTTAATGGCCATGATTTTCGAATGAGATGTTCGACGAGCAGGTGTCCACATACTTTTGGTGATGTAGTATATTTATAATGTACTGCAATCACAGATCTGCCCATTAATTTTCAAGCCTTTCCTGATTTTACACATCTGTGAATTGTTGTGCTGCTGTGTGGCTACATAACCGTCTGGAATTGTTGTGAGCCATGAACAGAAGACTGAGTACTAGCCTAGTAAATTACTGGTGTTGGTCAGAGTATACAAATATTACCAAAGGAATAGAAGCAAGGAAAAGATGGTTAATGAGGAGTCTTTTCATCCAGTTTGGAAGTACAGTGCATTCGGAAAGTATTAAAGACCCCTTGACCTTTTTCCACATTTTGTTACGTTACAGCCTTATTCTAAGATTGATTTAAATCATTTTTCCCCCTCATCAATCTACACACAATACCCCATAATGACAAAGCAAAAACAGGTTTTTAGAATAACTGAAATATCACATTTACATAAGTATTCAGACCCTTTACTCAGTACTTTGTTGAAGCACCTTTGGCAGCGATTACATCCTCAAGTCTTCTTGGGTATGACGCTACAAGCTTGGCACACCTGTATTTTGAGTTTCTCCCATTCGTCTCTGCAGATACTCTCAAGCTCTGTCAGGTTGGATGGGGAGCGTCGCTGCACAGCTATTTTCAGGTCTCTCCAGAGATGTTAGATCGGGTTCAAGTCCGGGCTCTGGCTGGGCCACTCAAGGACATTCAGAAACTTGTCCCGAAGCCACTCCTGCGTTGTCTTGGCTGTCTGCTTAGGATCGTTGTCCTGTTGGAAGGTGAACCTTCGCCCCAAATCAAATCAAATGTTATTTGTCACATACACGTGTTTAGCAGATGTTATAGCGGGTGTAGTGAAATGCTTGTGCTTCTAGCTCCGACAGTGCAGTAATATCTAACAATTACACAACATATACCCAAAACACACAAAAAAGTAAGGAATGGGATTTAAGAATATATACATATATGGACAAACAATGACAGAGCGGCATGGACTAAGATACAGAATAATATTATAGAATAGAATGCAGTATAGCTTAGGGGCAGCAGGTAGCTTAGTGGTTAAGAGCATTGTGCCAGTAACCGAAGGGTCGCTGGTTCTAATCCCTGAGCCGACTTGGTGAAAAATATGTCTGTGCCCTTGAGCAAGGCACTTAACCCTAATTGCTCCTGTAAGTCGCTCTGGATAAGAGCGTCTGCTAAATGACTAACATTTTAAAATGTAGTGCAAGATATGTAAACATTATTAAAGTGAGTCTGAGGTCCTGGCGCAGGTTTTCATCAAGGATCTTTCTGTACTTTGCTCCGTTCATCTTTCCCTCGATCCTGACTAGTCTCCCCGTCCCTGCCACTGAAAAACATCCCCAAAGCATGATGCTGCCACCACCATGCTTCACCGTAGGGATGGTGGCAGGTTTCCTCCATACGTGACGCTTGGCATTCAGACCAAATAGTTCAATCTTGGTTTCATCAGACCAGAGAATCTTGTTTCTCATGGTCCGAAAGTCCTTTAGGTGCCTTTTTGTCAAACTCCAAGTGGGCTGTCATGCCTTTTACTGAGGAGTGGCTTCCGTCTGGCCACTCTACCATAAAGGCCTGATTGGTGGAGTGCTGCAAAGATGGTTGTCCTTCTGGAAGGTTCTCCCATCTCCACAGAGGAACTCTGGAGCTCTGTCAGAGTGACCATCAGGTTCTTGTTCACCTCCCTGACCAAGGCCCTTCTCCCCCGATTGCTCAGTTTGGCCGGCGGCCAGCTCTAGGAAGAGTCTTGGTGGTTCCAAACTTCTTCCATTTAAGAATGATAGAGGCCACTATGTTCTTGGGGACCAATGCTGCAGACATTCTTTGGTACCCTTCCCCAGATCTGTGCCTCGACACAATCCTGTCTCGGAGCCCTACGGACAATTCCTTCCACCTCATGGCTTGGTTTGCACTGTCAACTGTGGGACCTTATATAGACAGTTGTGTTCCTTTCCAAATCATGTCCAATCAATTGAATTTACCACAGGTGGACTCCAATCAAGTTGTAGAAACATTTCAAGGATGATCAATGGAAACAGATGCACCTGAGCTCAATTTCGAGTCTAATAGCAAAGGGTCAGAATACTTATGTAAATAAATATGCAAAGATTTCTAAAAATCTGTTTTCGCTTTGTCATTATGGGGTGTAGATTGAGGATTTTTTTTATTTAATCCATTTTAGAATAAGGCTGTAACGTAACAAAATGTGAAAAAAGTCAAGGGGTCTGAATACTTTACGAATGCACTGTATACAGTTGACAGTTTACACCTATTGCAGACCAGAAACCAGTCTTCAATGGCCCACATCAATCAGTAAATCTGTAGTTTAGTATAGCGGAGGACTACTTTAAACGCATAATGGGAGCTTCAGGAGAAAATATACCCCAACTAAATACATTTAACCTAATTGATCAGTATAACTAAACAGAAAATGATGTGGGATGGATGAGGAAGTACATAATAACTACTTTGAAAAACAAATACATTTTGTAAAAAAAGAACCTTTGCAAAACCTATGCAAAATGTGTCATACAGAGCAAATAACTTATTAACATGGATTTAACGTTATACACTGTTCGACTACAGTGGATTCGATGCGTGTTCAGTTAGCAGTGTGTGAGGGCTCAGCCTGGCTTGCTGCGCACACATTAGAGCTGGTGGCCATTTTGTTTTTTTCTGCAGTGAATCCAGAACGCGAGTAATGAAAGCTGAGTGGGGGAGGGGAAGACTTTGCGCAGTGTGCAATAACATTGGAATGTGAACTGAGTCGTTGTAACATAACAGGATGTAACATTCAACTGATTAGTTTTATATCAAGAAAACTCATATCAGAGATGAGAAAATAACATGATAATAGTTCGAAGGACATTTTTTAAGTCGAAGGACATAGTACATGTTTGATAAATTATACAACTCAAAATAGAACTCGAAAACCCCCTTGTCTGTATTGATGTGAGGGGTAGCTGTGCACTTAGTTGCAACAGAGTGTCATTGGTATGTAGGCTAGCGTAGCCTGCAGCTCTGTCTGCCTAGAGCTGTAAGTTAGTTTGCACACTTTGTGTAAAGGACGCTCTCTCTCTGTGTGTAGTTTTCTCAACGGATGTTGTAACATTTCTGTGACTGTTTGTCATGTGATACAAGGCTGCACATTGGAGTCAAAGGCACATGGGGTGGGGCCACCATCAACGTGGCCTATTTATATAGCTGTAAGCGGTCTACTGCAGTCTGTCTAGGCAGCAATGCAGCAACAATGCAGTAGACTGTTGTACCTTGAACTGATACAATAATGCAGTTTCTTGTGCCTGGAATTGATTGAGTTTACAGGGCCAAACTAAAGCACCTAATAACCTAGCTCAATTTAATATGCTAGGTGATAATCAATTGGTTCGGATCTCAGTATCTGCCAATTTTTTTGAAACATTTAGGAAAAATAGCCTACTCCTCACCTCAACAATATCATGGATATTTTCTTGTGTCACGCAGATGTGTTCGTTATTCGGAAACCACTGCATTATGATGAGTGATGATGTCGTTCAGTGACGTACGTAACCTGTCCCTATGGACAGGGAAATGTCACTAGGGATAAGACAGCAATGCTAGGTAACGGTTTCACTACATCAACAAGAATGGTGTACCGTAACTAGGCTAAAGGCATATTGCTCCATGTGTAGGTTGTTATGGCCAAATAGTCTGAATATATTTGAATAATATTAGTCAGTTTATTTAAACGTTTTTTTATTTTAATAATTGTTATAATAATTTACAGTTTCTCTGACTGCTTTCTGTGTAATTTCTGCTTATATCTGATGGCAGATGGTTAATCATCTTCCATTATTCACACTGTAGTTTGTCAGTGCCTTTAGCTTAGAATTCATTATTTGTATGTTTTGTCTCTGTATTGCTCCTGTGCAGCCTTCTGGACGAACTGATCAGTTTTGTGCCGAAAATGTACTTTCAATGCTTCATTTTGTCGTCATCTTCTGTGTGAAGCCTAATGTGCGAGTTTGTCTGTGTGCTTGGTTGTTGTTTTTGAACATTTTGGAAAAAATGATCTGGCGATTTCAAGGTGTATCTTGAAGCACAGAAGCCTAAGTATTGATAATAAATTTCATACGTGAGGACTAGCCTACCCTTTTTTGGCTGTTTTTTGGCCATTGTGGAATGTCCTACTTGTAAAATATCGAAAACTGTCAGGAGCTTTGCAACACCCACGGCCTGTTCTATTATTAATTATTACGGCCACCATCTCTTGACTACTAAAACATGTCTGCAACTTGTTTTTTTATGATGTACTTATTAATGAAAGGCTCTGTATGTTTGCTGAAATGTGCTTTAGGTCATTACATTGAATTAATAATAAATACCAATTTTTCCCCCTCCCCCTCTAGGTTATTGGATCCTTTTGGTGTCAAATCCATGATCGGAAACCTCCAGGTGAGATATTATTTAATTATTTTAAATCTAATATTATATGGGACCACCGACACCCCTAGGTCACATTTGACTAAATACTAAAACAATATGAATAATGTCATATTTTGTATATTGGCCTATTGTTCTTAATGATTGTCATTGTCACTGTAACTATGACAAAATGAAAGTCAGCAGAAATATTAAACTCCATAAGCACAAATTGGAACCAAGCCCCGACACTGGAATGCGTTCGACAATTGGAACTGTATAAGGTAAATCATGCAGTCCTTGCATAACCCTTCCTCACGGTTGCCAACGGAGCCTGTATCTAGGGGCCCTGATTGGCTGAGGAAAAGGACCAATGAGAGCAAAGGGGAGGGACAAAGGCAGGGTAATGTTGCTGCCATCCTCTGGGATAATGTAATATCCGTGCTGCAGACCGGGCCGGCTGTGTTGGACTTGACAACGCAAAAGCTTGTCAGCCAATTGAAGCGAGGGATAGTGTTCTTACAGTGAAAAGGATAGTCTTCTGTCATGTTAGTGTGTTCGTCACCCCTGGACCACATGGCATCTCAAGTTCGCAATCCTGAGGACAAAAAGTTGTGAGCGAACATGCTGGACTAATCTTCAGGGGAGAGGCAGCTGGACTTGAGACCATTTTGATAGACTTCTGCTGAGTCACTCTTTCTGCTGAAATTGACTCTTGTTGTATAGAATGGTTGTTATGCAGAGCTCACAGTGAAAAAGAACCTTCTAGAATAGAACAAAGAGGGAAAAACCAACTAACAGGGTTCTACAGTGACCCCTAGTGTTGGCTCAGAACACTGCATCGGTTTGGCCTAACAGATAGCTCATCTGTACCCACTGTAGTGGGTAGAAGCTAGGTGGGTGGCGCAGGTGCTGTTAGCAGTCCCGAGGAGGATCCTTTCGTGACCCGTTCCAACTAACATCCCCATCCCTCCTTGTCACTCCTCAGGTTAAAATGGAAGTTGCTGTGGCAGAAGAGAAGAAGAAGATATTCAGAGCCAGGAAAACCATGAAGATAAGCGACCGCCAGCAACTGGAGTCTCTCCACAGCACATTGTCGTCCCCCGTCCCGCCCCTGTCCAATTCCAGCTCTCCCCCTCCCCGTAGCCCGTTGACAAACGGCACGCACACAGAGGATGCACAGAAGGTGGCAGACAGAGAGCAAAACGACGTTGCGGCGACATCTCGTTCCACAACCCCCGTCTCCCCCATCTCCCTTACCTCTCGATCCCCTCCCCTTGCTCTGTCCCTATCGTTGTCCCCCTCCCCACCAACCTCCCTAAGCCCCATAGCCAAGGAAGACGCCACTCCCTCCCCATCATCGCCATTCCACATCCTAAACGACGTACTGAAAAAGATGGAGGAAGAGGGAAAGTGTTCCACATCCCCTTCCAATAAGGACAAGGAAGGGAAGGATACAGAGATGGAGGTGACAAAGACGGACGAGAAAGAAGAGAAAGCACCTGAGACTGAGAAAGAGGTTTGTATGAGAACGAGAGCGAGGAGCTGAAATTTGGCTAAATGGGAAACATTGGAAGTTAAGGAAAATGGGGTTATAGTTGGAAAGTGTTGAAGTTGGCATTGTTAGGGGTCCAAGCACCGCGAGTAGTATTTTTTTTTTTACCATGTGTTTGAGTTTGGCGGCTAAAATACAAACTTAACTGGATGTTCTCTTCTCCAGGAGGCCTGCACTACAACTGGAACGAGCCATGAGGACCAAGCCCCTATGGATCAGTCTCCTCTGGACTCTCCGTTCTCTCCAGTCTCGCTCGCCGCGTCTGACAAAGAGTCTGGGAAGGACAAGAGGACAGAGCAGAAAGAAGACACAGTGGCCATGGAAGCTGATACGGACAAGGACCATACAGAGACCAAGGCCTCTGAGGCCTCCACTTCCACGGAAGAGAAACCTTCCTCCCCCAAGGCCACCACCATGGCCTCCCCCGTCCACACCCCCTCCCCCTCCGCTGCCCCTGAGCCGGATCAGGACATCGAAGAAGAGGTGGTGAACAAGGGAGAGAAGAAGAAAGAGGATAGTCAGAATGAGAAGGAGGGAGTAATGAAAGAGGAAAAGATGGAGGTAGTTTCTGTGAAAAAGGAGGTGAAAAGGGAGAAACAGGATGTTGCCTCCTCCACCTCTACATCCACAAGTGACAAAGGTATGAAATGACAGAATCTGCAAGACCTGGAAAATCATCCAGAGTTGACGGATACTAGTAGGCACCACTATGCCAGCTATGTTTCATTTTCAACCTATGGTTTTTTGGAATTTATAACAAAATATATAATCTGGGAATACTAGCATTTTACAAATAAAATAATACAGGAACAAATCTAATATTAGTAACATACACGTAAGCATACTGCACAGGAAATTATATAAAATGACCATTAATCAAAATAATCTGATTCAACTAAACCAGAACACTTTGTCTCAACAGGGGTGAAGGTGAAGGAGGAAAAGAGCTCCTATTCTGGACAGAAGCGTCCCCTGTTGGAAGGTGACGAGAAAGATGGAGGGAAGGTTGAAAGAGACGGGAAGAGGCAGAGGGTGCAGGGCGCGGAGTTGGAAGCTCAGCTCGAGTTGAAAATCACTGCGAAAGGTGGCAGTCGCCTAAAACTGGAAAAGGTTGGTCTGGCAGGAATTGATGATACCTGTTCCCATGTATTAGCATTTTACCCACAGGTTTAAGACTTTACCCCTAGTCAGGCATAAAGTAACTCTCAAACAATCTTGCCCCACACTATCTAGGTCTACATTGTGTCTTGAACTCATCCTACGTTTCTCTTCTTCTCAGGTTCTGCAGAAAATGGTTGAGGAGCGGTTGAGGGCGCTGCAGCTCACCGTCTTCGACCAAGGTTTACAGGAGCTAAAAGACCGGGTAGAAAAGATTGATTGTGCCACAAAACACCAGAGCACCCTTAACACACTACAGGTAAGCTAGCTACATGTTAAATACTAGTAACGGGTATGTTACCAAGTCGATTTGACAATAGTCAATAGTCACAACAGTCAGAAATAGTCATCAATGGTCATAGTCAACAATAGTCATAGTTTTCAATTGTCACAATAGTCAGCAATGCTAATTAAAATCCTCACAAATGGAAAGTCTCACATGTTCTCACTGTTTCTTACCCTTTTTCAGGCCAAGATTGCTAGACTAGCAAAGAAATTCGGAGAAGCCAACCAGGCCTCGGAGAACAAAAGAAAACAGGAGGTAAGAAATGTTAACTTATGGGACCCCAGTGTCAGAGAGATTTTTGTAAGTCATCTACTACTCAGTCGATATTAGTTAAAGCTGCAATATGTAACTTTTTGGGCGACCCGACCAAATTCACATAGAATTGTTAGTTATCGATCTGTCATTCTCATTGAAAACAAGTTTAAGAAGCGGTAGTTCTGTTTTATGTGCGCTATTTCTATGCTTCCGTTCTAAAGTTTTATTTTTGCGTCTTTTTACTTTCGGTTTTGTACACCAGTTTCAAATAGCTGAAAATACAATATTTTTTGTTATGGAAAATATATTTCACAGCGGTTTAGATGGTACAATGATTCTCTACACTATACATGCTTGTTTTGTCACATAAACTAAAATTAGGTGAACTATTAGTATTTTGGCAACCAGGAAATGGTGTAACGAATTCTGAATATTGCAACTTTAATATCGAACAGACAATGTGATAAAAATTGCTGAGGGTGTTAGCTAAAGGTGTCACCATGACGTGTGTTCGCAGGCGCTTACATCCCCTGTTGCCAAGACTGCACCTGCTACAAACACCATTCCGACACAACGGTAAGAGTTCGGTCCTACTGCCGATGTACTACTTCCTCATTTAGAAAAGCTTTTAGTCATTTGAAAGCATTTCCTCCTGTGAATCACGAGTGAGCAGTAATCAAAAACAGGTGATTGCATTGCCTCTAGTTTTATGAAGATGTGAGATACAATCATTATTTTAGTTTGTGTGCGGTCGTGTTAATCACCATTGGCAATCATGGATGGCAATTCCCAAACTTTTACTTATTCCATAGTTTCCTTTTCTCCATCTCTTGTGACAGCACATTCCCATTGCTTCTATTCTCCAGTATAAAAATGTATTTTCTGTATTTGTAATTCAAATCATGCAGAAGGAAAGATGTGTGTTAGTCATTGCATGGGGCTATACTAGCTATCATTGTGCCTTTGTATCAACGTGACAATACCGGCCTGAAGCCAATGAATGCCACACGTGGAGTCAATCACAACGTGTGATTGAATGTGTGGTGGCTCTGCACAGGATCGTTATCAATAATACTGAGGCTGGATTAAATTCTCGGGAAGATTGGATTAAAAGGCAACAACATCCACTAAAAACCATAATAACGGGAAACAAAGATGATACCTTCGAGGGTATTCTCTGATGTACAGGACCCACTTCTTTTTTGATCGCTTAGTGCCTACCCGTCAGGCGTTTTCAAAACAAAATCCCCACATGAAATCAATCATCATTTTGTTTTGGATTAAACAAACGAACAGCGGTTCAGTTTTTGCGTCTTTTCTTTTGCACACCACCATGGTTCCAGGTCCTGAGTCTTGTGACGTTATACAATGCGCCAAAGCTTGAGAAAACAAGCATTTAAAAGCTGTGCAGACAGTGTTCACAGCACCCGATCCAACTGCACCTCTCCTCTCAACAGCGTGTTCCGAATGCATCCAAAGCTGGAGCTGCAGTCTGAAGAGGGGGCACGGCGGAGAGGGGAGCTGGCGACCTCTATTGGTTGGATTAAGAAGGAAGTGAAGGAGGAGGAAGAATCTGAAGAAGAGTATGAAGAAATATCTGAGGAAGAGGAATTTGAGAAGCCTTCATTCAACCTAAGACACCAGCCTGCTAGAAGAGAGCAGTCACAGCAGCAGTCACCACAGCAACCGAGCAGAGGAACTAGGGTTTGTTCAGACATAATGCTGCGTCCCATCTCCACGGACAAGGAGAGACTGCTTTACCTGCGTTCTAAGAGTGCTGCCAGGAAGGCGAGATCCGATCGTTACGCCGTATTCCTGTTCCGGAACCTGGTCTCATACGAGACCTACGTGAAGTGGATCACCACAGTGAACTACGTTGGAACGTTGGGCAAGGACGCGCTGCCCGTTAACCTGCGCGAAACTATGAAGAAATATTTGGAACAAAGGTTCAACAAACTGTACGCCAGAGACTGGAAAAAGATCAGGGACGCCATCAATGAGATCCTGAGAGTGAAGAGACTACGGTTCTTCTTTGAATCAGACTTTAATTTGACTTAGACAGGTTTGATTGGGAAAGTGCCATTTTCCACAGTATTCGTGATGCACTTTGTTTTGTATGGAATTATGGAAACGACATAGTCTTGAGATAGTTGCAATCATCACATTTATTTTTATTTTACCAACGTTAACAGTAATAATTGCATTCCTGCCGCCATAAAACATTTGATTTGTTCATAATATTCCCAGTTCCTAATGTACTGAACTAAATAAAGGTCTGGAATTACTATTAAAAAAAAGATGTTGAGAATTTTTACACTAATATCATTATAACACAAACGTATACCAACATTTTTTCTTAATGTACAGTACCAACATTTTTAAACAACCTGCAAATACTTTATGATTCTCATGACAGAAGACTACAAACAACTCAAGAATGATACCCATACATTAAACAAGTCCTCAAGGAATCAACACCTTTTACCCCCTTTTTTGTGATAAAGAATTTTCAAATTTGCAGATATTTTTTTCTTGAATTTGTTAAACTCAATGCAAAGAAGAACAAACAACAAAATACACATAACAAACACTCAGTCAAAAAAATTTCAGTCAACACGTCTTAATGTTACAAACGGGGAAACGGAAGAAGACCGAGCCGGAAGACAGAATAATAGTAAACTGGCAGGAAGTGTGGCAAATAGGTCGCCAAATTACAAGCAGGAAGACTTTCTCTGGTCTGTCTCAATATGACCTCTGACCTATTTTTAAACAAGCCAACTGAATGCAAATCACATCTCTTTCAATTACCTTTACAAAAAACAATTCAACTCAATGCAAACCCACATCTCTTCTAACAGGCCAGTAGGAGCTGTTGTAAAGCAGCCCATGACCAGCCCAGTCTCTACCAACCTTACAGGTAAGATCTCCCTTCTCCTTCTCCCTTACATGTCAATAGGATGTTTCACCTATCATGGGGATTGAACGACCCAGAGATCAAGTTACAAGATAAAGAACAACACCAACTGATAGTGTGCTCTGACCTGTCCTGGAATAGGATTTTAAAGTTAAAATCTAAAGTCACCATTCCTTTGCTCTCTCGTGTTGTCTTTCCAGTTTCTCCGGTCAAAAATCCCAAACCTGTCCCCACTACCACTACGGCCTCTGCCATGGTAACACAGGGCTCCATCCTGCAGCTGATCCCCACCTCCTCTAGCTCCGCCTCCCTGTGCACTGTCACCTCCCAGAGCGGCCCCACCGGCACCCTGCTCCTGAAGACCACCTCAGGCTCCAACGTGGTGGGCCAGAACGGCCAGCCCCTCCTCATCCAGCTGCCTCTCTCTGCCATGGCTAACGGTGGGGCCGGAACCCTGGTCAACATCCCAGTGTCCTCCTTCGCTGCCGTCAACTCGCTCAACAAAGCCAAGACCACTACTCCCACCACTACCTATATCCTCAAGGCCGGCCCCACCACCACCACCATGGCTGGCACCACCACCTCCACCATGGCCTTGCAGCCCATCTCCTCCACTACCCAGCTCTCCCCAGCCATGTCCCCAGCCCAGATGACCCTGGCTCGGGCTGTGTACCAGGGGGGCGCTGGGGGGATCAGTACGCCCAGTGCTGGGATGTCAGTGACCACAGCCAGGGCGCCGGTTCAGGCGTCCTCTGGTCCAGCTGCAACGGGCTCGGCCGCTCCAGGACCTCCGTCGGGGACAGCTATGACGTCAAAGACAGGTGAGTTTCCTAGCAACAGGCCTGATAACTATATCCTATACTGTATGTGGACAAGAATAATAATTGCATTTATAAATAATGATTTTCAAAGCGCTTTACATTGTAATGGGGAAACCACTTAATCCACTAGCTACAGTGAGGGAAAAAAGTATTTGATCCCCTGCTGATTTTGTACGTTTGCCCACTGACAAAGACATGATCAGTCTATAATTTTAATGGTAGGTTTATTTGAACAGTGAGAGACAGAATAACAACAAAAAAATCCATAAAAACACATGTCAAAAATGTTATAAATTGATTTGCATTTGAATGAGGGAAATAAGTATTTGACTCCCCTCTATATCAGAAAGATTTCTGGCTCCCAGGTGTCTTTTATACAGGTAATGAGCTGAGATTAGGAGCACACTCTTAAAGGGAGTGCTCCTAATCTCAGCTTGTTACCTGTATAAAGGACACCTGTCCACAGAAGCAATCAATCAATCAGATTCCAAACTCTCCACCATGGCCAAGACCAAAGAGCTCTCCAAGGAATGTCAGGGACAAGATTGTAGACCTACACAAGGCTGGAATGGGCTACAAGACCATCGCCAAGCAGCTTGGTGAGAAGGTGACAACAGTTGGTGCGATTATTCGCAAATGGAAGAAACACAAAATAACTGTCAATCTCCCTTGGCCTGGGGCTTCATGCAAGATCTCACCTCGTGGAGTTGCAATGATCATGAGAACGGTGAGGAATCAGCCCAGAACTTCACGGGATGATCTTGTCAATGATCTCAAGGCAGCTGGGACCATAGTCACCAAGAAAACAATTGGTAACACACTATGCCGTGAAGGACTGAAATCCTGCAGTGCCCGCAAGGTCCCCATGCTCAAGAAAGCACATATACAGGCCCGTCTGAAGTTTACCAATGAACATCTGAATGATTCAGAGGAGAACTGGGTGAAAATGTTGTGGTCAGATGAGACCAAAATCGAGCTCTTTGGCATCAACCCAACTCGCCGTGTTTGGAAGAGGAGGAATGCTGCCTATGACCCCAAGAACACCATCCCCACCGTCAAACATGGAGGTGGAAACATTATGCTTTGGGGGTGTTTTTCTGCTAAGGGGACAGGACAACTTCACCGCATCAAAGGGACGATGGACGGGGCCATGTACTGTCAAATCCTGGGTGAGAACCTCCTTCCCTCAGCCAGGGCATTGAAAATGGGTCGTGGATGGGTATTCCAGCATGACAATGTCCCAAAACACACAGCCAAGGCAACAAAGGAGTGGCTCAAGAAGAAGCACATTAAGGTCCTGGAGTGGCCTAGCCAGTCTCCAGACCTTAATCCCATAGAAAATCTGTGGAGGGAGCTGAAGGTTCGAGTTGCCAAACGTCAGCCTCAAAACCTTAATGACTTGGAGAAGATCTGCAAAGAGGAGTGGAACAAAATCCCTCCTGAGATGTGTGAAAACCTGGTGGCCAACTACAAGAAACGTCTGACCTCTGTGATTGCCAACAAGGGTTTTGCCACCAAGTACTAAGTCATGTTTTGCAGAGGGGTCAAATACTTATTTCCCTCATTAAAATGCAAATCAGTTTAACATTTTTGACATGTGTTTTTCTGGATTTCTTTGTTGTTATTCTGTCTCTCACTGTTCAAATAAACCTACCATTAAAATTATAGACTGATCATGTCTTTGTCAGTGGGCAAACGTACAAAATCAGCAGGGGATCAAATACTTTTTTCCCTCACTGTATATGTAGCACCCAAAGCAGCAAAATCTAAAAACCTGTTATAGAAGAATAGAGAATATTATCTAACTGTTTTCTTTCCTATTTCTATTCCATCCCTTTCAGATAACCAAGCAACAAGCTCTACTCCAACCAAGACAGGGGCTCGACCCAAAGGCTCCTTCATAGACCTCACTGAGGAGGAGGAGGAGGATGATGATGTGCTAGGTGAGAATGATTCCCAAAACCACCTCCATATTCCTCCCTCTCAGCTCCAGAGAGGTCCACTGAATAATGTCGTTATGACCTCCAAAATAGTGACAATTGTTGCTAATTATGGCTATTCTGGCTAAATAAAGATGAATTGAATTCCCTTTTCTGTCCTGTATTCATAATTCCTACTAATGTATTCTGCAGTGACTGGTGTGAGAAAGGCCACTACGGCTGTGGTGTCCTCCTCTTCAGTTACCCAGCGATCTACTGGACCTCCTCCGCTGATCAGCACTCCTAGTGGTGAGGCCTGCACATTACATAATCATTGATATTACCATAAACTTTTTATCCGCTTGCTAGTGTGTACTAGCTAGATAGTGTGTACTAGCTAGCTAGCTAGTGTGCATGTAGTGGCGTAAAGCTTGTAGTGGGCGCGGCGTGTAGTTACTGCAGTCCTGATATTATTGCTTGAAAGGAGTGCCCGTCTTCACTTTTCTGAGGAGATTTTTGTTGCGTGTTCGTGGGTGCGTAACCAGATGTGATCAGAGGTAAGTTGCACTTTATTTAACTTCTGCCTTTGTAATATTATATTGTTCTGGAGTAAGACAAGTATTTCTCAGATATAAACCTGCTGTTGAAATTGTGTTTTGAGGGCAAATGAAATGGCTAGGTAGCTAGCTAGCTTTGGCTAACCTAATCCATTGCCAGTGAATCTGACAGATGAAGTTTCAGCTCCCCGTAAATGATTGCTTGTTTGCTATCTAGCTAGCCACCTTGTCAATGGCATAAAGAGTGAACAGATTGATCAGATGTGTGTGGCAATAGCTAACTACTATCACATTAGCTAGCTAGGTTGCCGCTAGCTAAGCTGGCTAGCTAAGCTAGCTCCAGTGTTAGCCATGTAGCTAGCTAGACTATTCACCTCGATTCACACCAGTTTCAGTAGCTAACGTTAGGTCTACATTGTGATTACCACTTGATGTATATCATTTAGTCAGGCTAACATTAGTCCATTTTATTTGGGAATGAGCCAAACTTATTTTTCATGTATTTTTCATTGGAGGAGCTATGTGCCATGGTGAATGTCCCTTTTGAGGAGGCCAGAGTGTTGCAGTCAGAGATGGAGAGTGCTAGTGATAGCTCAGATGAGGAAGGTGATCATGAGGAAAATGTCAGGGTTTAGGCATCTCAGGATTTCTTTGGAAAGAGCATACCTTTTTACCTATAATGCTAGCTAGTTAAATGTACATTGTGTTTAGAGAAATGGCAATGCTCAAATACTGAAATCTGATTGATGTAGCTAATATATTTCAAATTATTGTATCGATATAGGTTCTCTTATTTGAAATGTTTAAGACAACATGCATCAAAGAGCAGAGCAGACAAAGGCAGTGCAGAGAGCTACCAATCAGGGGTCGGTAGAGCAGGGTGCTACAGGACAGTCAACAACAGAGCAAAAAGCTACAGAGCAGGGATCGGTAGAGCAGGGTGCTACAGGACAGTCAAACAACAGAGCAAAAAGCTACAGAGCAGGGATCGGTAGAGCAGGGTGCTACAGGACAGTCAACAACAGAGCAAAAACTACAGAGCAGAGGTCGGTAGAGCAGGGTGCTACAAGACAGTCAACAACAGAGCAAAAAGCTACAGAGCAGGGGTCGGTAGAGCAGGGTGCTACAGGACAGTCAACAACAGAGCAGAAAGCTACAGAGCAGGGAGCAACAGCAATTGATGAGGGTAAGATAATACATTAAAAAATTTTAAATATTTTTTTTTACATGATCAACCGGGCAGTCCAGCTCAGCATCCTCCCACTCCATGGCTCTCACTCTGTGTGTGTGTGTGTGTGTGTCATTCATGTTTTTATGACTAGGCCTATGAGCACATATGTCATACAGTGTATCATCTCAGGATGCTCAGTGCCATTATACTAGAAATCAATGTGTTTTCTTGTGTGTGTATTTGAATGTACAGCTTGTAGCAGCACACCTGAGGTGGGGGAGAATGGGCCTGCCAAGAAAAGAAAATACCTTTCACATTGGAAAGATGAGGTTCGGAAGAGAAGGAGAATGGAGGGTAAAGCCTACCTTGGCAGGAAAAAGGGTGAAGGGGAGGTGAAAAGAGAGCCACGCAATATGGGACCAGGATGTGTGTCAGAGGGTTGCCGAAGGTCCTCCAAGCGCTCCTGCAATGCAATCTGTGATGAGGACAGAGAGAAGATTTTTCAGTACTTCTGGCAAACGTTGGACTGGAATGAGAGGAAAGTGTATGTGTGTGGTCTTGTTGACTGCACTGCAGTGCAGCGCTGCAGGTCTGAGAATATGGGTTCTAGAAGGACATCCACATTGGCATACCATCTTGAAGTTTGTGGTGAGAAGAAGAGAGTATGTAAAAACTTGTTCCTCTCAACCCTTGGGTTGGGTGAATGGTCTGTGCTACACTGGGTGCAAGCGAAGGAGCTTGAGGAGACCGTCAGATTAACACCTGTGAGGAATGAGGCAATAGACGACGAGAACATTTCTGCGTGACTTACCGAAAGTACCATCACACTACTGCACGTCGTCCTCTAAGCAGTACCTGGAGCCTGTTTTCCAATCCATGTCAGAGCTGCAGCCGTCAATGCGAGGAGAGGATGGGAAAACCCCTCAGTCTTCGCCAGGTGTTCACACTAACATGATTGCTTTGACTACTACAATTTGATATCTGCACTGTTTGATTATTTATTACTTACATGATTCTTACCGGAATACCTTGATTTGATGTTGAATTCCTTGCTGAAATGCGCCTTGATGAGATTTGCATACTTGTAACATGATTGATAGTGAAATGTTGATATTGATTGTTGTTTGACTGTTGTAATACTTGTACTGTGAGTAAAAAATTAAACATCACACTTGCTGTAAATCTTTTTTTGTACACATTCGCCATAACATGTACTTGATGAGATATTGTCATTTAAATTATTCCAATGTCTCAAAAGTACGATTTAACTTTTTATGAAATTGAACTCATTCACAGTGATAGATATTAAGTCAATCAAATGTATTTATAAAGCCCTTTTTACATCAGCAGATGTCACAAAGTGCTTTTACAGAAACCGAGCCTAAAACCCCAAAGAGGAAGCAATGCCGATGTAGAAGCACGGTGGCTAGGAAAAACTCCCTAGAAAAGCAAGAACCTAGGAAGAAACCTAGAGGAACCAGTCTCTGAGGGGTTGCCAGTCCTCTTCTTGCTATGCCGGTGGAGATTATAAGAGTACATGGTCATTAAGGCTAGATCGTTCTTCATGATGTTCAAACATTCAAAGATGACCAGCAGGGTGAAATAATAATCACAGTGGTTATAGCGGGTGTAACAGGTCAGCACCTCAGGAGTAAATGTCAGTTGGCTTTTCATAGCTGAGTATTCAGAGGTCGAGACAGCAGGTGGTAGGGAGAGAGAGGGTCGAAATAGCCGGTCCGGGATAGGGTTGCACGTCCGGTGTAGAGGTCAGGGTTCCATAGTTGCAGGCAGAACAGCAGAAACTGGATCAGCAACAGGACCAGGGGGACTGGGGACGGGGACAGCCAGGAGTCGTCAGGCCAGGTAGTCATGAGGCATGGTCCTAGGAGAGCGAGCGAAAGATGGGGGAATTAGAGGGAGCATACTTAAGGGGGGACACTGTGGCAGCGTACGACAATACCCCCGGATAGGGCTAACCAGGCAGGATATAACCCCACCCACTTTGCCAAACCACCAGAGGGATTTCAACAGACCACCAACTTACTACTCTGAGACAAGGCGGAGTATAGCCCTCAAAAATGTCCCCCACCACACGAGCCCGAGGGGGCGCAAGACCGGACCGGAAGACCGGACCGGAATTGACTCAATCCACTCAAGTGTTATTCAACCGCAATTGCAACCATTGTAAAATACACACATTATGTCTCAGTTAATCATCAGTACATGCTTTATAAATGATTCAATAATATTTCATGGTTGTCAGTTAATGGAAAATTAAAGCAGAAATGGCAATGCGTTTGCTGGTGCGGAAGCGGCCTGCTCTATTCAATGATAAGAACCCAGTAACTCCACATATAATGTGTGCAAAACTCGTAACTCCATTATACTGTTTTTTATGTTGTAAAATAGCAATTGTTTAGTGACGTGAATATCTGACCGAAAATGTAGTCAAATTATGAACATTCATGACGCTGTGTTCATTAATGTTGAAATTATAATGTATTTTTTTTCACCTTCTTAAAAGTTGTGATTTTGGAGATACAAGGTTTTCATACAACATTGACGATATGCTTGTTACAGACTAAGCGGAACAAAAGTAAACCTTGAATTTGGAGGTTTAACATATCCCTATATTGGCCAAGTTTACCTATTTTATGAAATGCCATCGGTTGCCTTCAGAAAATATTCACACCCCTTGACTTTTTCCACATTTTGTTGTGTTACAGCCTGAATTTAAAATCAATTAAATGTAGATGTTTCTTCACTGGCCTTCGCACAATACCCCATAATGTCAGTGTATTTTTTTTATTTTTTAAACAAATTAATAAAAAATGAAAAGCTGAAATGTCTTGAGTCAATAAGTATTCAACACATTTGTTATGGCAAGCCTAAATAGGTTCAGGAGTAAAAATTTGCTTAACAAGTCACATTAGAATTTGCATGGACTCACTCTGTGTGTAATAATAATGTTTAACATGATTTTGGAATGTCTATCTCATCTCTGTACCTCACACATACAATTATCTGGAAGGTCCCTCTGTAGAGCAGTGAATTTCAAACACAGACGCAACCACAAAGACCAGGGAGGTTTTCCAATGCCTTCGCAAAGAAGGGCACCTATCGGTAGATGGGTCAAATTATAAAGGTTGACATTGAATATCCGTTTGAGCATGGTGAAGATAATAATTACACTTTGGATGGTATATCAATACATCCAGTCACTACAAAGATACAGACGTCCTTCCTAATACAGTTGCCGGAGGGGAAGGAAACCTCTCAGGGATTTCACCATGAGGCCAATAGTGACTTTAAAACAGTTTAGTTTAATGGGTGTGATAGGAGAAAACTGGGGATGGATCAACAACATTGTAGTTACTCCACAATACTAACCTAATTGACAGAGTGAAAAGAAGGACAGAATAAAAATATTGCAAAACATGCATCCTGTTTGCAATAAGGCACTAAAGTAAAGCTGTAGAAAATGTGGCAAAGAAATTAACTTTATGTCCTGAATACGAAGCGTTATGTTTGGGGCAAATCCAACACAACACATCACTGAGTAACACTCTTCATATACTGAACGCAACATGCAACAATTTCTAAGATTTTATGGAATTACAGTTCATATGAGGAAATAGGTCAATTGAATTAAATTCATGGATTTCACATGACTGGGAAAACAGATATGCATCTGTTGGTCACAGATACCTTAAAAACAGTGGGCCTCACAATCGGCCTCAGGATCTCGTCACGGTGTTTCTGTGCATTCAAATTACCATCGATAAAATGCAATTGTGTTCGTTGTCTGTAGCTTATGCCTGCCTGCCTGCCCATACCATAACCCCACCGCCACCATGGGGCACTCTGTTCACAACGTTGAAATCAACAAACCGCTTGCCCACATGACGCCATACAAGTGGTCTGCGGTTGTGAGGCCGGTTGGACGTACTGCCAAATTCTCTAAAACGATGTTGGAGGCGGCTTATGGTAGAGAAATTAACATTTAATTATCTGGCAACAGCTCTGGTGGACATTCCTACAGTCAGCATGCTCCCTCAAACTTGAGACATCTGTGGCATTGTGTTGTCTCCAGCACAAGGTGCACCTGTGTAATGATCATGCTGTTTAATCAGCTTCTTGATATGCTACACCTGTCAGGTGGATGGATTATCTTGGCAAAGGGGAAATGCTCACTAACAGGGATGTAAACAAATTTGTGCACAACATTTGAGAGAAATAAGCTTTTTGTGCGTATGGATCATTTCTGGTTCTTTTATTTCAGCTCATCAAACATGGGACCAACACTTTACATGTTGCGTTTATATTTTTATTCAGTGTATTTTCAGGCATAGTGGTGGGGCTGGCTGCATCATGTTATGTGTATGCTTGTCATTGGCAAGGACTAGGGAGTTTTTATGATAAAAAGAAACAGAATAGAGCTAAGCACAGGCAAAATCTTAGAGGAAAACCTGGTTCAGTCTGCTTTCCAACAGACACTGGGAGACAGTCAGCTTTCAGCAGGACAGTAACCTAAAACAAGGCCAAATATACACTGGAGTTGCTTACCAAGATGACATTGAATGTTCCTGAGTGGTCTAGTTACAGTTTTGACTTCAATCAAAGCAATGATCAACAACCAACTTGACAGAGCTTGAAGAATTGTAATAATAAAAAAATTATACTGTGCAAATATTGTACAATCCAGGTGTGCAAAGCTCTTAGACTTACCCAGAAAGACTCACAGCTGTAATCTCTGCCAAGGGTGATTCTAACATGCATTGACTCGGGGTTGAATACCCCAAAGCAATATTTTTTATTTTTCATGATATATAATTTTTTTTTAGAATTTTTCTTCCATTTAGACATTTCAGTATTTTGTGTAGATCGTTGACAAATTTTTTAAATTAAATCAATTTTTATCCCACTTTGTAACACAACAAAATGTTGAAAAAGTCAAGGTGTGTAAATACTTCCTGAAGGCCACTGTAAAGTCTAAGATCTTTGATTGGCTAAGGCAGAATAATCATGGCCAGCACAGGGCTAAGCGTGCCAGGTTATCTCACATGTAGCGTTCTTTCACGTGCAAGTACGTCGACTATTTTAAATGGCTGATGCGGATTATGTGATGAGAAAAAGTGAACGTTTAAACTTTTTCTAATGTTTGCATGTATGGATCCCATATCACCCTGATATTACTATAACACGCATTCAATTATAATCTTAATTGCTGGATGTATCATGATTGTGGTCAGTCAGTAGACATAATTTAATAGAATTCCAAGGATATCTATTAGCCTAGCCATGCCTGTGATTCAATGCATTAGAAGTCAGCTCTATGTCTGTTTGCTCTGTAATAGTGGTTCTGAGTAAAGGTTTGCATATTTTTCAACTCAAATAATCTTGTGAACCACACAGATTTGAGGAGGGGATGGGATGCTTATTATGTTATCTAATTTGACATATTGTCCTCTCTTTACAGGTACGGCATCAAGAGCATCTCCTCAACAGTCAGTCGGCGGTCCACATCTGACAGTCCACTACCGCCCCCCTCTGGTGAGTTTGTTAACGCTGAATCTATTTCACGTGTTCATATTTTTCTTGGATTCATTTGAGTTCTATAAGATTATTTTAATGTGTTAATTTCTCTCTATTTAAATTAATACAATAAACAACTTAATACTAAACCAAACACAACACAATTAAATACAAATATAAATAAAAACATTCTAAATCTATACATTTTTTTTCTTGCATATTTCTTGCCCTAATTAATTTCCATCTCCTTTCGTTTCATTCCCAGGACTCCCCATCCAAAGCACGCATGGGAAACAATACCACTCCAACCAAGCCCCCCCCTGTCACCCTGCCCCCGTTACCCTTGGCTCCCCTGCCTCCTGGCCGGCTACCCATGGAGGCCAACCAGACCATGCCCCCCCAGCAGCCCCAGCTGAAGCTGGCCAGGGTGCAAAACCAGAATGGCATCGTCCTTTCCTGGTGCGTGGCAGAGACTGACCTGACCTGTGCCGGGGTGGAAAGCTACCACCTGTACGCGTACCACCAGGACAATGCTGGGTCGGCCGGTAACGGCCCTGGAGCGGGGCAGCACTGGAAGAAGATTGGGGAGGTGAAGGCACTGCCACTGCCCATGGCCTGTACCCTCACCCAGTTTGTCTCTGGATCTACGTATTACTTTGCTGTCCGGGCCAGGGATGTGTACGGGCGCTTCGGGACGTTCTGTGAGCCGCAGTGCACTGACGTCATCAGCGCCACCACTCCTAGCTGAGCCAACCGGGAAGGGAAAAGGCATTTCATGTGACAGGAAGTTGATAGCATTCCACCGCTTCTTTTTTACAGTGTTCGGGAGGACCCTGACTGAGATTGCTTTAGTGGTAACACGTGAACGTACACACACACACCATGAGAAAACAGTTAAATGTACACTGTTGGACTCCAGACTACTCTGATTGGAGAAAGGATATGGCAATGGTTATCGTTGTGCCTGGCGTTGTATATTCTTTGTGAGTTAAGCTATTGTACATAAGTGAATTGTTCCCCATGGCAGGTCAGATATTTATATGTTGACTTCTGTTACCCTGGTCCGGATGTTTTTTTTTTTTTTTTTTGCTTTATAAAAGAATAAGTGAAAGAAAATACATTTTAACGTTCACAGAAATTGCACAGGAATGCAAAATCGGTGTTAGAACCTAAATGATGTTAGAACGATGATAGTAATTTTGTATGTATTGTCTGGTAACCAGACTTAATAGGAATGACAAATTCAATAAAACATTTTATTGGAAAGTTTTCAAGTGTTGAGATTAATTTGGTTAGCCTATGTTTATACAGCCATTCCCATAGCCAATCTTGTTGTCTGTTTTACATGTGACCCATATCAGATTTGCACGTTTTCACTGATGTAGCCTCTGAAATAGCCCACAGATGCAATGCTCATTTACTGCCACGGTTCCTTTAAATCTTTGGGTGATTGTCTTGTCAGCATTGAAATTGTCTATGAATTGAAAATCACATACGAATGTGGTAAGAATCGGAACAGATTCCATGTTTTTGCTGATGTTTACACATTGGGAAAAAGGTCAGATATGAACCGGATATGCCCATACATCAGAATTTGTTGTGTAAACGAGGCCGTTGGCTGCATGTACACAGGCAGCCCAATTCAGATATTTTGTCAATTATTTGCAAAAAAGCTGATCTACTTGATCAAAAAAACAATTAGTGGAAAAATATCAGAATTGGTCTGTTTGTGTAAACGCAGCCATGGAATCTGATATTTTGACTTCCAATTTATACCACCTCTATATGTGGATGTCAATCCTGATACAAACCATATCCTCCATATGCGACCTCTGCCTGGACGCTCAGATTTTTTTGATCTGAAGTGTTATTTTTTTGCACATGACCTGCCATTACCATGACAACAACCCCAGAATGTAAAGGAACAGTGACAGGAAATGAGCATTGAATCTGTGTGCTATCCGGGATCCTTGGGACTACTTCAGAGGCTACATCAGTTTGAATGCGCAAATTGGATGTGGGTCACATGTAAAACTGAGTGGACAGTAAAAAAAAACGATCGGATGTAGAAAAAGTCTGATTTGGGTTTTTAGGGTGGCTGTGTAAACACAGCCTTAGTGTCATACCTTTATGTAATGTGCTGAAGTAGTTCTTGATTGCTTTTATTACAGACCACTATGCAGTCAATTGATATTAGTCACTATTGCAAGGGATGACTTGCATTGCAGACCAATATTCATGTTTATTCTTCTCCAGCCAACAATCTGATATTAGGCTACCCAATCTTATGGCACCTGGAGGTACTTTATAGAAGTTTCCTGTCAGCAGCTGAAGAGATCCGGAGGGTGGCAGCCATTCAGAAACGCACCAATAAAGCTGTCATTATCCAAAACTGACACCAGCTTCCATGACCATCCCTCTCCACACATGATCTACAAGAGTGGCTCTTAAGGTATGAAAGGCTGACACTTGAGCGTTTCCCCCCCTATTGTCCTGTATATGAACATGTGCAATGAATAAAGCACTGCACAACATGAGGATGTTCTGTTCCAGAAGCATGATGAGATTCCACAGCTGGTGCATTGGAGTGCTCAAAGAATTCTCAGACAAGCTGTGGAGTAGAGGGCAGGAATAAGGTGTTTATTAGGTTTTATATTTGTAAGCCCAGCTGTCTTTATTAGGTATTTAACATAGAGATTGATAGAGGACTCATCTTTAGATCTGTGCTATTATAGTGTCTGTGACAGCATGGGCAGAGCCATTTAGGCTACAACCCATAGGAATCCCCACCCAGTTGACTACTTTGACTACTTTAAGATGGCGGAAGCATGGTGGAAGCCCTCAATGGCAGTGCCCATGCTAAAATGGCATTTTGGCCACTAGAGACCTCTATCATTCTCTATGGGCATTTACCCCCTCCATGACAGCTTTTATGTCTAGAGTCCAAACATAGGTTAGTTAGCATACACAATCACAGGCCATAGCATATGACTAAACTCAACTGGGATAATCTGGGAAATAAAGGTAGTTATTCATAATTGTAGCATAGGCTACATTTACAAAGGCAGCCCAATTCTGATCTTTTGCCCAATTATTGGCAAAAGATATGATCTGATTGGTCAAAAGAGTGTCAAAAGATCAGAATTGGGCTGCCTATGTAAATGCAGCCATAGATGGAGATCCATCTTAAATTGGCAAGAGGAAAAATGAGTCAATTACATAGGAAAATATTAAATGACTTACATTTTGACTGTAATCTTCTCATCAACTTCTTCAAAGCTAAACTGTCAGAATTCCCGCCATGATGAGCCTACTAAGTCAAACAGCAAACGCACGCCAAAGGAAAGGACTTGAAGCACGAAGTTGGATTCCACATGCACTTTTAAATTCCATCCATACAAGGTTCTGGCGCAAAATTGTGCCTGGGAGCTCACGGATGTTGTAGTAAATTAATGAAGAAATCCTAATAATGACATTGTTTTAATTTCCCTTCATCAACATCATCAGTAAATATAGCGAGGTAAGTTAGTATTTGCATGATACTGGTGAGTTTACCTCAAGTTTACTGCATGTGTAGAGCACGAGTTTTCAAATGTTTAATATTTGTTTATTGAAACAATCAGAGGCGTCATGCCCATAGGGGGCACAGGGGCACGTGCCCCCTCAGATTTGTCCTGTTTTAAACTTTTTAATAAAAAAAAAGTATACAAATATCGTTGTTGTTGTTTCTCTGTAATACTGCCAGCCACCTAGCAATTTTATGAAGTTGGCTTTAGCTAGCCCAGATAAGTCCCCATTCTCCGAACCTCATAACTAGCTACCAAGAAGCCATTTCAGGCTATCAATCAAGTTAGAGTAGCTAGCTTGTCTAACTATCTTAGCTGGCATGTCTGCTGGCAAGGTTGGTAGACTTTAGAAAAGCAAGCAATTACTAAATGTACTGAATAAGACTCACATTCCTTTAAGTATTTTACCCAGATTTGAGCAGAGATGCAGAAAAGCATATTTAGTTTTTAAAAAAGAAAAAGAACCACCAGTCAGGAGGATACAGACAGCTCAAGAGGTATGCTTAGATATGCAGAAAAATATATATATATTTTTTTTTTTACATAGAATAAAGCATAATGATTATGGCTCTCGATTGCAGGAAAAAGCTTTTTCAGCCTCTGATCAACAGCTTTCCTCACGTACTTTGTGCCCCCACAGATTTTTGGAGGTGCATGACGCCCCTGAACACGTTAGTTTTTAAAAACATTGTCAGGTAGCAGGTGTTCATTATTGACAATAGGGGGAGCCATTCTCCTTATTTTATTATATTTTCCTAGACATCTGTTGCAAATGAGACCCTGCATCCCTTTAATTCAAAATCCTATAGAGGGACCCACCTCCACTCTCTCTCTCTCTCTCTCTCTCTCTCTCTCTCTCTCTCTCTCTCTCTCTCTCTCTCTCTCTCTCTCTCTCTCTCGTAGAGGAGGTGGTGGACAGCGAGTGAGCGCACTTTGAGTTCTACGTTCTAAGGCAGATGGAGGTGCCAGTTGTACATTCTCTCTAGCTCTGGGTAGTACCTCACCATGCAGCCTGTTTGACACGTTTAACAGTTGTGCCGGAGAGGGCTTTTACATCGTATCTAACCGGAAGGCTCCTGTTTTTGGCAGAAAAGGAAGAGAAGATTTGTAACAGTTGGAGAAATTACTGATAACCCTCCTCTCAGCTCACCCAAACCGCCAAAACGGAAGGCTTTGGAGTATTCAATTTTTTCTTTCGTTGTATGTTTTTTCTCTTCCTCATCGTGGTGCTGGGAGGTGCTTCATCTTTTCATATATTCGCTCTCTCCTTCATTTGTCTCCTCATTTACTTCTCCATCTACCTGCTGTACAATTTCCTCTATTTATGAGTGAGAGAAAAGAGAGAGAGGAGGGGGAGTTTGTATTTTTATTTTTGGCCTTTCTTTCTTTCCCTCCTCACCATTCCATCCCTTTCAATCCTTATCCCTTCCTTCCCTCCTACACCATTTTTCACCAGTTCTCCACAGCACATTCCTCTCCCTCTCTTTCTCTGTCTTTAAACTCAGATGTAAATGAACTTGGATTGAATTTTTGAAAGAAAGAGACAACTTAAACAAGAACTCTTCTTCAATGACTCCTTTTCCCCCATTTTCCCCCTCTTCCTCTTCTGGTCCTTCCTCACCCACATCCTATGCATCACAATTTTGCGGGATTCTTAATTGGTAACTCTAGGTAGGTTTACTATCATTTAGTGTCTGTCCATCTGTCTGTCTGTGTGTGTATTTGTGTGTGCTTTACGTATACATAAAACACAGATACACACACACTCACACACTAAACTATGGTGAAAAGGAGAGCGATTATATCTGGTTCTCATAGTCAGTTGATGTTGGTCTCACCATTCTCCCATGCCCATTCTTTATCCACGTCAGTTCAGTCAAACTTCATCCATTTTTTATTGTTGTCTTTGAGGAATACAATTATCTAACCCTCCTGTGATTTTGGCATTTTCTCTGTCTCGCCTTATACATGTGAAAGAAAGCGTTGCATTTCTTGTATGTACTTGTTGTCAGATGCCATTTTGAGTCTTAATTGGAACATTAGCACAAAATGATGACGCTTTGCCTGAAGTTTTGACTTGTGATTTGGCAAACTGTGTGTTTGGACTGTAAACTTGAAAACTGCGGTTGTTGGGTAAGGTATTATTGGACCCCTGTGGTTATTTCTGGTTATTTGACATATCACGGTTAATGCTTGATTTTCGATTTCTTTCATTCAGCTGGTCCATCACCTGAATTTAGCTTTCTCTCCCCCACCCACCCGCTGTCTCGCTCTCGCTCTCTCTCGCTCTCTATCTCTCTCTCCCTCTCTCTTTCTCATTCCATGAACTATTGACACACACACATTACCCAAAAGTAATAAACGTCCCATACCAATTTCACTTTTAGAATTCAATTCCGTTTGTTTCTGCATCTTTCATTTAGCGCCCCCCTCCTTATTTCGGTTTGATGTTTTTTTCAACTAGAATGGACAATTCTCCATTGATTGTCACTGAAGCGGTT